TTTGGATTGGAGAGTGAAGACTACATATTGAAATCAATTTCCTTTTAAATATAATGTTTAACATTATCTTTAATATATGTTTAGCATCCATTCTTGTATTTTACATGGCGAAAACCTAACCATTTTTGTTGAACACATCAAATGCAGGTTCGGCAGATGAGAACCAGACTGTGCCTTCTTTCCCTTCATTTCACTGAGTTATCGCGGATCAGTGAAACCTACTCTTTATACCCAAAAATAGCACAAAACCTGATGGAAAGGGGGCTGTGACCTTGCCACATTGTCAGCAGGTGAAATGGTGGTAAAGGAGTTGATATGGTGCATGAAGCACCATGGGAAGGTTTGAATGGGTAAAAGCAACTCAAGTGCAACCACGTTTGGGAAGAAATAGTTAGTGGATGGACTATGGCCCGTTTTAAATGGAATTTAGATAGCTTTTGGGCTACAAAAGTGCAGATGGATAAGAGTTAGGCTTAAGTGTGCTCCTTGTGATTACCTATGTAATGGACTTAAACGGAAACTTTGGTCAGTCTTTGTACTATGACAGTATCATAGGTTGGGTATCTCTTGTATTTAATAATAAATTTTTGATTTTTGAATGTCCCACTCTGATTCAATAGCATGAATTTTGGTTAGGTTTGCTCAGTTCCTGTGAGTTGTGTGTTTGAATTTTACAAAATCTTTTTCTTTATCTCCCAATTAATACTTGTAAATAATTACAATTTGTTCAAAAGTAATAATAATAATAAAATTTTGCTTTTCAAAAAATGAAAAAAAATAGAAACTGTGCCCAGTTGTCCATGTTGGATCGGAATTAAATTCAATAAAGTTATTTCCTTGTTTGTTCAATATCTTATATATATATATATATGAGATTACCTTTTTGGTAATATAAAAATTTTAAATTTTGACTTTCACTCCAAATTAAAAATTTTAAATTAGTTGTTGTTAGTGTTTGTTAAATATCTATATACATTCACTTCTTTATCCTTCCTTCTTTCTCATTTTCTTTCTTACTTTCTGTTAAGTTACTTTGTTGAGTACGTAATGACTTATCTTTACAAATTTTAGAACTAATTTCAATTTCTTGTTAATTTATTCTGCTCGACTAATCTTCCTTCTAGGAATATAAAATTAAATTGTCTGTTCCCAAATTTAAAATTACTTTTGCCAAGAGCCTTAAGGGTGCTTAAAATCCACAATTGGTTCAATCCTCTGGGCGTATTCATGTCTCATTTCATTTGCATGAACGATATTAATTTTATTAGGAGAAATAAAATTTTATTAATATATGAAAATCATAAGGATTATAGAATTATCCTAAATGGGATAATAGGTTAGAGATATTATACTCATAAAATGCGTGAAAACACAAAATCAAATAATTTATTGCTTACATAAATAACCAATAATCTGTTAATCTGAATAAAAGAAATTTGATTTTTATTAAATAATGTCTTAAATTTAACTCTTGTAAATGAAGAAAGGGGAAACTAAGAACTTTCTCTTATGGGGTTCACGCACTTCAACTCTGAACTAATTAGAACCTAATGTGGCTTTTAGATATTGAGGATTAGTATTAAAAAAAATGTCTATATGAATATTATAGTTACACCCAAACTCGAAATGTAACAGTTAAGCTACATTATATCATAATTCATTAGACAAACGATAAATAGGTTGGGATAGAAAAATTTAGTTAAGGATCTCATCTCTAATCATGCCTTTAATAGCTGAAGCAAGTATGATAATGAGTCTTGGTCCACCTAACATTGCATTCAAGTTGCTATCTTTCTTTAACAAGATCGAATTTTGATAAAAATATATATATATATATATATTGAGAAATCCATTCCAAAAATCCTAAAAAAGAAGGAGAAACCTCCATAAAAGAGGGAAATCATAAAAGACATATATTTATGGGTTTTTGTATGGAGTAAGTAATTATTTTAGCTTTTTTTTGAAAAAAAAAGGTAAAACTTTTTTAATTAAAAGATAAGTTCTAATTTTTAATTCAAAATGCACAAATAAAAAACTCACGTGACATTTATAATTAAGAAGGCGTGATTGGAGTTTTTGGTAGAAATTTTATTTAGAAGAATTTTTTGTATAAGTCTTGTCTTTGAAAGGTTTAAAATGTTTGGTAAAATTATTAATAGAAGCACTTATAAATTTGAAAGTTGTTTTATAAATTTTTTTCTATAAAAAATCTTTTTTTATCAGCATTTATAAAAAATCTTTTAATCCAATTTAATACTAAAATAATTGAAAATAACATTCTTTAAAAAAAAAAATGCACCATCTCTATTTTTTATTATTCATATGTATAAAAAATATGAAAGTTTTCTTGGAATATTGAACTATATTTTTTTGCTTAGCTTCCAACATTGTTTTAAGAATTAAGGTTATGTTGGATTGGACGGAAGACGGAATAACTATTCAATGCTCACTGTGTACAAATAAGCAAAATAAAGGAGTATTTCACTATTGGAATTACTATTTCTTGGAATATATATAGTAGGTTTAAGGTTGGACGTTTCTTTTAATTATACAATGAGGTAGGAATAATTAAAATCTAGCAAGAAAGTGGTAATAGCTATCACGTGTGTTCTTTAAAAATATTTCAATAATTAAAATTTTGAGTCTTAATGTAAAAAATTTTAAATTTAAATCTTAAAATGAGGTAAGGAAAGATTTAAAAAAAAAAAATTATTCTGTTGCATTTCGTAACAACAACAACAACAACCCATATGTATCACCTTTCCTTTGCTTTGCTTGTCATTTGTCAAGCACTTTCCTTTATTTTATCTTATTTTCGTGCCTTGACGAATTAAGGAATAGTAATTTCATCAAACTAGCTAAATACAGCCTAGAGTTTTTGTTGCAGCTATTGGTTCAAATTGAACCCAGTTTTAATGCATCATGATATCTGATTTCAGTTTAATATTATCATGATCTCCGATCTCATTGGTAGACACCTTAGTACCCTATGTAAATGGGGTTAGGTTTAGTCTATATACACTCTGAATCGTTGCACAAAGGTAAATAATTTTTGTCATAAAGAGAACTCCGTTAAACAAATCGATGGAGATGACAAATTGAATCTAATTACTGAAGCCATCGAAATCATGTCTTAAATCGACTTTGTTGATGAAAAGTGCTTCAAGTTGTTGGATATGCACCGGATTTAAGGGTGGCAATTTTATCCGCGACCCCGTGGAGCTTCACGGAGATATCCGCCGTGGGGATGGAGATTCTCAAAATATTCTTATCCGTGGGGCGGGAATGGAGGCAATTTTTTACCTGTGAAATTTCGTGGGAGATTTTCTCAACTCCGTGGGGAACCGTGGGGATCCATATAAAATAAAAA